TTTTTGTCCATTTCTGTACCTCCATTAGCTCCAAGTAATCAGAAACAGGGTCAACTACTTCCACGCTAAAGCTTCCATATTTTGTAACTCCTAGTTTAGACAGATCGACATCAGGAATGTCTGCCATCTTTACTTCAGAAATCTGCATTTAGGTTTCCATTACCAAAAATCATTGAGGATGCTGAAAATTTTATGCATGATACAGAAATTTGTATTAATTATTTGGAACAACACTAATATTTGGAATTTCAAAATGGCTTGTACACTATGTAAGTTGAGTATAAAGCAAATCAAAATTATTCACAGTAAATTACTACTTCCTATCGATCTTATATTTGAAAACAGTGGTAACACCGTTCCTGCTGACACTTTGACTTTATTTCTGAAAATAATCTTAGGGCAGTTGTTTTAGCCTATGTAAAGTCCAGATTTCTAATTGATAGAGATAAGTTAATAAAACAAAATACAAGAACTATTAAACCAACCAGATTATCTAGAATCTTCATGCCAATAAGTCACCAGTAAATTCATTAGCAAAAACAGCTGTAACGTCGACCGATTACTATGTTATCAATCAAAGTTATCAATCAAAGTTGGCAGTAAAGAAATTTTTAAAATCAATATCACTGATTGTTTACATACTTAGTATGCAAGAAAGGATACATCCAGCACAAATGGATGCCACTAATTCTAAGCTTGAAACATAAAAGAAAGTTGTGATAGAGAACATGCTGCCATCAGGACTAGAGCATTCAATTTCATGAATTTAGCATCTTTTAAATCTTTTTTTTGAAACCTCTAGACATTCTGAAAACTAAGTAGTTTTTGTTCAAAGAACATACAGAAAGGGTATTCCCATATATCTTGTCAGTGATGGACTCTGGTGCAGGCTGTCCACTGCTGTAGTTGAACTTCCAATGCCCCCAAAAAAAAAAGGAGATGTCACCATGCATGCACTGGCAAAAGCAAACACAAACGCGCTGAAACAACTTAATAATGATACCACAAACACCTTACCTTGATACCCCAGTCATTTTCTGGTCCTCCAGGATTATGGCTAGCGCTCATTATGAAGCCTCCATTAGCCTGTCAAAAATAATTGAAAAGAAACAAATACAGTCAAATTTAGGTTATATTGAAAACATGAAAATAGAGCATAAGAGAAACACTCAAATTGCAAGACATAGGATATGTGCAAGCCTTTTGCTTCCGAATTACAGCAGAAACAGCTGGTGTTGACATGATACCATCTCTGCCAAGAAACGCATTTCATAGAAGGTCATACTTTACATATAATTCTAAAGATAAAAGTTTTTAAGAATTTAAGGAAGAAAGATACAACAAACTATTGAAGAAATTCTCATGGTGCAATATTCATGTAAAGACACATAAGTGTAATAAAAATTTACAATAATAGAAGCACAGAAAATGAGATGCAGAAACAATTCATCACTCTTTTTTACAGAGGTTTCAACTAATACGTTCAACAGTTATTTTCTACAATCATATACGTAGAGAAGAACCATGACATAAGTGGCTGCTACAGCATATCTAAATAAATAAAATAAATGACCCGCTTAGTCAGGTATTTAACATATAGTCCATATGTCCTTCCTCACAACAATATTAAACAACAAAATTATCACCAAAGGGATTTCTACTACCGTGCCATGGTCATAGAAACAGATACACTAAGTTCATAATTCCATAACAAGGACTGCTGGTTTGTGCATATGCGTATTAAATTTTGGAGGATGTTCACCTACATGCACTGGGGTGTTGTGCTGGGGAATGGGAGTGTGTTACGATAAGGCATGAGAGGTTTTAGTGTAGGGTTCCTTTTAGAGTGGAGCATTGTAGGACTAAAACTTTGAGCCTTGTCTTTCAGCAACAATTCTCCTATATGCTTCAAAAGTACTAGGTTGATTCTGTGCAAGAGAAACCGCTTTTTTTTTTTTTTAAACATCTTAATATCATTAAAAGAATGAAAGAAAATGCAAACATGGAAAAGAAATGACACTTGGGACTGGGAAAATCTTCCTAATCAAGAAAAGTAAAAAGAGTACTAGCAGGACTTCACTACCAAACACAGAGTCCGGGCTTTGGTCGTACAAGACAAAGCAAATTGGTAATCAAATGACTCATTCAAAAGTATGGCATGGATTAGGATTCTCAATATGTCATTCTGCAAGCCTACAAGGAAAAAATGTAGTGCAGTAACAATTGAAAGAAGAAACAACTTATTTGTGTTTATTTGGCATCTCTTTTGTGTTTACTTTGTTATAGAAATTTTTACACAAATAATTTCGAAATCCACCCACAAAATTTCTCGAAGGGATTAAGAATGTCAACAATCTGTCTCTTGTGTATGCACAAAAGTGTTCTGGCTTAAATCAATCAAAGGCTAAAATATCAGTCAATGGGAATGGCAAACAACTAAAATTTTAGCATAAACAAAAAGAACTGAGAGGTCTCACATTTTATTTTTTTAAAAAAAAGGACTTTGAAATAAAACCACCAGTCCTTTGAAGACAATTATAATGTTTCTCAGATTTAGATTAGGAAAACAGGAGAACAGAAAGAAAATAATGTTCCTTAAAATTTATTAATATGGACAAAGAAGAAAGCAACTTTTACATGAATTACCTGCCAACAAGGATTTTTCCAACACCATTCCCTGCAGCTATTTTGATAATTATCTGCAGGTAGTTACCAGAAACAAAGGCGAAAAAAGAATTAAAATAAGCACTACCAAAATGATTCAAAGAGTGAAGATAAGATCACAGAAGAACAGAGTATGGATCTTATACGTGAGCGGCTTCACGGTTAAAGTAACGACCATCACCACCCAGCACCAATAGACCACCTTTGTAGTCCTCAGGTGCTAACGAGTTAAATAAGGCCTGTTATTCAAACGAATCAATGACATTAGATAAAGAAAGTGACTTTATAAGTCACAAAATTTAAACAGACAAATTTTCTTCATTTAAGCAATGCAAACTGTAGCTATTGGGCAGAAAACCCAAAAAAATCTTAGCAAAACACAGATGAGGAATGTAATGTCAATAATAAAACTTACCTGAATCCAGTTTGCAAGGTAGTTCTCTTGAGTGAAAACTTTAACCTGAGACAATGGAAAAAAAGATCAACCAGAATTCCAAATTGATCAAATTATGAGAAAGGAAACAACTAAATTAACGGAAAACAAAGATCAACACAATCAAACAGAAACCAAAACTGATCAAATCATGCGACTACAAAGATCAATTAAAAAGAAGCAATTTTACTTTCTTGCGCAGTCCACTGGTTCCTGTCTTCTGGCCTTCAACAGGCTTTGTTGGAACTACAGTTACCTATCAACAAAAAGGAAAAAATTCAAAAAAAATAAAAATCCAACAATAAAATACTTACAAAGAGTAATAAAGTGGACATAAAGCAAGAGAAGAGAACATGCTTGAATAAAATTTTTTTTTACTCCTTTAATCTCATTAAAGCGGAAAAACCCAAGCATACTTTGAAGAAGTGATTTTCAGTCATACCTTGAGTCCTCCGGGCTCGGCAACTGTAGTTGCAGAAGAAGCAGAAGCTCTTATCGGATCGATAGCCCTTCGAAGAGAAGGGCGAGGAGAGAGAGAGGAAGGAAGGCGATTTAGAGAGAGAGAACGGAGAGAGAGAGAGGAAGGAAGGCGATTTAGAGAGAGAAAAGAAGAAGTTGAAGAATGAATGGGAGGGGAGAGAATGGAAGTCGATGGTTTGCTGGAGAGAAGAGAGCTCGCCACCGTTATGGCCGCCATTGCTGCTTCCACACCTGTTCTCTGATTGTGCGAGGGGAAAGAAACTTGAAGCCTGAGAGATATCGAAAGAGAAAGAGGGCTGGTTCGCTGCCACGTGGCAAAGGTGGGGTGCCAAGGCTCCTGGACGTAGGGTCTCGGGCCCTGCAACCTTTACCTCACCCTATCTCGAATTCCCACTTTCCTATTTTCTTTCCATTTTTGAATCTTGATTCGTTATATTTTTGGCATGCGTGTTAGGTTTCATTTATTTTGTTGCGATTGGTCCCTATTCCGTTCGTAGCCTAGATTTTGGCAGAGCGAGTAGATTGATAACCCAATTTATTCGGTTTTTTAAACACTTTCTATGCTTCCCCGCATAAAATTTGATAGTAATGTTCACGTGAAACGCACGTGATATTTAATATTATATTTATTATTGAAACAATTCAATAATACATGATATATTAAAGAAAGAGAACTTAATGCATTTATTTTCGAATATTTTATTAATTAATAATAAATATGATACTAAAAATTTATTGTTAATTAACATGGATCCATTTAACATACAATTAAAACAATAAAGGTGAGTTAAATAAATAATTTAAATTAAATAAATAAAACTAATAAATAAATTTATGCACGGTCTTATTAATGCTAATATCCAATACAGTAGTTTAAGACATTAGATCTTATTAATATCTATATCTAATATATTACTCCCCTAAGGCATACTCAAGCATTAACTTATTATAAACAAAAGAGTGACAAGACTTTATATATATATATATATATATATATATATATATTGATCAAACGTAAGAGAGGGGAGAGAGATTTAAGGAAAAAGAGACCGCCAGAGATAAAGAAAGAAAGAGTGTATGAGAGATTTAGGAGAGAGCAGTGAGATTAACCAATATTTCTTCTCTTAACCCACATGTTTCCCATTAAAAATAGACATGAAAAATATTAACTTGAGTGAGAGAAGTAAATTATCATAAATAAAAATATTTATGTTTTTTATTGGGTTGGGGCTTTTTGTTGAGCTTGGGAAATAATGACTTGAATGTGAGAGAGATAAATTATGCTTAATAAAAAATGAATGCTCATTAATGAGGGATGACCATTTTCAATAAGTTGTGTATTTTCTATTGAATTAACTTAAGAAGTATAAAATTTATTTAAAAAGCATAAATAGAGGAAATAATTCAGATATAATATTTGTCATAAACAAGACTAAATGAGACCAAAATATTTTCAATATTATTTTAAATAGAATAATCAAAAGGGATATAGTGCAAATGAAAAATAGTAAGAAAAAATTAGAGGAGATGGAATCACAATATATCAGTTATGAATAATTTTTAATAATTCAACATTTATAATTAAAATATAAAAGATATTCAAGTATCTCAAACAACAAAGAATTAAATTTACATATAATGCTGAATCAACATTAAGAAAAAAAAAAAAAAATAAATTATACTAATAAAAGAAA